TCAAATAGCTAAACGGAATACAAATGCTCAAAATGACTGGCTGGGTGTTACACAGCAATAGCAAGAACAATACGAATGCTGACTGAGTTCACCACTGGACTAAATGTTTAATCATAGTCTAGTCCATATTATTGATTGTAACCTTGAGATACAAGTCACATTTTGTAACGTTCAAGAGACCCGTCAGACTTTTGTGTAACTCTGTAAACCCAACGACAACCAATAATATTAGCATTAGATGGTGGAGGCACAAATTCCAAGTGTGGTTGGATACAAGAGCATTGTACTCGTCAGCCATTGCACATTTCCAATGAGCGATTTGTTAGCTTTTGTAAAGGAATTTGGTTCTGTTGAAAGTGGTGAAATATGAGATATTAAAGATGGTAGAATTCGAGGTTTAAGTGAAGTAGTTTGTTTTCTTGTGATCATGTGATGCAGTTTAGAAGTAGGTGGATGTAATCTTGAAGAATCATCACAAGGAATTGCAATAGTCGTGGGATGTTGGAGCGGATCACGTACAAAAACATTTGAGGATAATATTTGTGAATTTGGATGTAAAGGCCGTGGAAGAGATTAGGGTGAAAGTATAGATGAGATAGAAGTAAATTTTTGAATTAAAGTTGGCTGGGGAGTTGGAGAATTAAGTGATATAGATGAAATATTTTTTGAACATGGAATAACAGAAGATATAGGAAGTGTAGTTAGAGTTGATACAGGAGGTAAGGAAGAATTACATAGAGAATAGGTAGTTGGAACTAAAATAAGATTGGTGCAAGGCGTGCAGTATTCTGTCGTGGGAAGGATTCATATTGAATTAATTTTGAAGTGGGAAGATATGAATTAGGATAGAACCTTTGTGAGATAAGCGAGGAGTTAGAAACTGTAGATTGTGTTGGATTAGGCATTTGAGATTGAGAAGAGATATGTTACCTATGATCTTGCAAATTGTTGGGAGAGAGTTGTCCAGCAACATGACTTTGAATATTAGAATGAAGCAAATTACAATTACTAATTTAAAAAGGAGAGTGAGACGATGGAGATAAAGAGGAGCAGGGAACTTATGGCATATTTTATATCTTTCCAGAATAAGATAAGTGAGAAGGAATAGAAAATGAACTACAAACTGGAGACTTGAACAAAAAATTATTATTTAAATTAGAATATTTATAAGAAATAAGACGAGGATAGGAAAATAAACTCTCATCTAAACGAACATGTCTTAAGATTTAGACTTTATTACTTAACAGATCAAAACATCAGAAACCCTTGTAGTTAGGGAGATAACCAAGGAAAATACATTGCATGGAACGAGGACTTAATTTGTTTGCGTGATAGTCACAAAGATTAGGATAACAAGAACAACCAAAGACACGCAAATGATCATAAGTAAGAGACCTACCAAATAATAATTCAAATTGTGTTTTGTGATGATTAAGAGCAGCAGGAAGAATATTTAGGATACACTGTACTGTGCAATGCTTCTACCCAAAATGTAGAAGGAAGGGAGGCTTGAAAAAGAAGAGAGTGAATCATATTCAAGATTGTGCGATACATTCGCTCAGCCTTTCCATTTTTCCGGTGTGTATAAAGACAAGAGATTCGAAGAGAAATTCCATTATCCTTGAGAAAAGAACAAAATAATTTAAGCTTGACATATTCAACAGCCCCATCACATTGCTACTTTTTTTAGTGGAAAAATGAGTTAAAATGAAGGCGTAAAAATTCTTAAACATAGTAAATGCCTCAAACTTTTGTCGCAGAGGAAATGCCAAGGAAAACTTGGTAAAATCATCATGAAAAAGAATGTAGTAGCGAAAGCTTGTGAAGGATGGGATGGGGGAAGTACATATATCACTATGTATTAACTCAAATGGATAAGAAGTAAAGGAAGAACTTTATTTATTGAATGGCAATTTTTTGTGCTTGCCAAGCTGACAAGCATTACATAATGAATCAAAACGCCTGAAAGAATTACAAGACAGTTTATTATTTTGAACTAATAATCTAAAATTATGGAGCTTGGATGGCCTAGATGATGATGCCAAAGAGAGGATGGAGCACGAACTGCGGCAAAAGCTGTAAAAGAAACATCAACACCACTGGAAGGAGAAAAGGGAGAGTACAAGGGTCCATGACTATTGCACCTGAGAAGTGTTTCCTCGTCTTGAAGTACTTGATAGAAAACCCAAAAGAATCAAATTCAATTGTACAATTATTATTAGAAATAAATTTTTGAACACTAAGCAAATTGGCGAGATAATTGGAACAATTAAAATATTATTTAAAGAAAACTTAGAAGATGGAGTGAAAATAATACCATGACTAGTAAAGGATATAGGAAGCTCAGTACCATTGCCTACAATGACCCGATCATTACCATGATAAGGTGTAACAGATGATAAATTTGTAGCAGTTGGAGTTATATGTGAAGAAAATCCGGTATCGACAAACCAACGACCATCACTAGGAGTCGTATGAGAAGCGGAAGAGTTGGGTTGGGTTGAATATTTGATAAGAAGGCCTTAGAGGCAAGAGAAGGACAATCGGGGGTAGAGTGATTGGGGTGAAAGCAAAGTTGACAATGAACTATAGAAAGAAAGAATGAGGTCGGCGGTGGACCCAAAATAGAAGGACCTCGAGATCGAGTGTTCAAGTTTTGAGGATTGAAACCATAAGTTTTATTGTACCCTTGATTATAGCGACCTCTTCCACGACCACCATTGGAATTTCGTCCACCATTGGAATGCCTACCACGACCTCGAACATTAGAATATGATGGTTGCTATTTCGCAACAAAGGCTGTTGTAGTAAAATCTAGGGAGGGAGGTGTAATGCTGGCCAGTTGGGACTCATGAAGAAAGAGAAGAGAGTGAGTTTCTACGAAAGTAGGGAAAGGAACACGAGTAGATATGGAGGTACTTACAAACATGTAGTCAATAGGAAGGCTAGAGAGGATTTGAAAAACAAGGTCGGTTTCAGAGATTGGGTTGCCAATAGAGGTTAAGGCATCCGCTATGGATTTTAGACGATGAACATAATCATTGATGGAGAGCTCTCCCTTTTTGAGGTTATGAAACTAAACTTTCAGTTGAAGGGTACGAGAGCTAACCTGATCACGAAACAAGCGTTCAATTTGAAGCCATGCTTCACGAGATGTGAGAGTATGATTTGGCTTAATAATTGCTTGTAGAATTTCTTGAGAAATTATTGCTTGAATTCATGATAGAACAATAGAGTCAAGTTGAACCCATTGTTGAAATGCATGATTGATCATGGAGACACCATTATCAGCAAGAATAGTGGGTTCAGGAGAGGGATGACTATCATCAATAAAACCTTAAACTCCATGATCTTTGAAGATAGGCAAGAAGAGCTCTCTCCACAAAATATAGTTTGTAAAATCAAGAATTGTAGGAACAAGATTTTTAATATTTGAGAGACAAATAGCAAAAAGCGAAGGGGGGGGGGGGGTTTGAGATAACGGGGCAACTATGGAAGAGGGACTTGAACGTCAGAAACCGCTGAAGAAGATACCATGAGGAAGGAAGCATTGGAAAAAAAAAAGAATCTAAGCCTCTGATACCATAAAAAAGTTCTATTCTTGATCAAATATTCTGAGAAGTACAATAAAATATATATGGAGTATACGTATATCTAAAATATAAGATAACTCTAAGTATAACAACAATTTAAAATAATTTAAATTACATGTCTATCCTGTACAATATGTTTATCAGTTATTTTTAAGTTGATAGATAAGATAAAGGGATTCTTACCAAACATTATATCATTTGAAAACAAACATTTCTAATGCACAGACCTAAGAAGTAAATAAGCGGTCAATGTTCACATAATATAAATTTGCCAAAGTTTTTTGTTGTCAAAATTATAAATGCATTTTCTTGATGTGTTCAGTGGTCACAGTATTAAATTATATAATTTTGTTGATTACATTACATGAGTATGATGAAAACTCTAACCAAAATTGTATAACCCAAAAGTGAAACAATTATAGTTTGGTTAGCATATAGATATCAGTTCCTCAATTCAACGCAAATAGTGATCAATATTTGGCACTAATTCTATAAGATTCGAAGTAAGGTATGATATTTTATTAAACTTTAGATGTATTCTTTCGTTATTTTAATACGAGAAAATTGTATTATATAATCCTTGTAAATCTTAGTATCTAAATGATAGTAATTAATAATCAATTTAATCCAATTAAAAGTTTGAATGATAAATAAATCAATCCATAATAAGCAAACAATGTGGAGAGGGAGAATTAAAGAAGACCTTCATAAATTAAATTTACTGATTAAAAAAAAAAACAAGCAAATGGTATTTGATGTGTCCTTTTTCGAGCATTCAATAACAATAGCATTTTTCTCTGTACTAGACTAGAAAATGATCTACCTTAAAACCTAACTGATTTATAGCTTGTTTGGCCAAGCTTTTCTAAGCTAAAAGTATTTTTTTTTTCTAAAAAAAAGTGCTTTTTTTTTCAAAGTTGAAGTGTTTGGCCAAGCTTTTAGAGGGAAAAAATTGCGTTTGAGTTGAAGCAGAAACAATTTTGGAGAAGCAGAAAAAAATAGCTTCTCTTCAAAAGCACTTTTAAGAAAAATACAGTTAGAAGCATTTTTTAAAAGTTTGGCTAAACATTAATTATTGCTCAGAAATACTTTCAAATAAGTTAACCAAATACAAACTGATTCTTTTCAAGTAAATTACAAAAAGTATTTTAAAAAAAAAACACTTTTAAAAAAAAGTATTTTTCAAAATAAGCTAATTTTTGCAACTTAGCCAAACCATATCCTTCGCGGCGAGTAGTCGGTTTCGAGATTGCTAGACACGTGCCGACATTAGCAGCTGGGTTTTGGGTTCCTCTTTTAGCTGTACTGCTGACAAAGGCTTTATTAGCATAGATCTAGGGAGTTATACAATCTGCTCATCTCACTGCCACGTGGCAGTCAGAAACTTTATTCTTTAGACTGATTAAAAAGAAAGTTATTGAACAATAGCAATAATGCAACTGATGAGTTTAGCTTTGTATGAATAATAATAATTTCATAATACGAAATTATTCTTACGAATCAATGATTATTCAAACAAGACGCAAAGAATTGCCAGTTGTCAAGTGAAAGCTGTGAAGTGCAGCGAATCCCTCTCCCCCAACCTAACTGTACTTTCTGAAGTTTCACTCTCTACATATATATATATATATATATAGAAGAAGTAATTTAAAGGGGTTGGTTTTGTTTGGTTTAATAGAGGGAGAGAAAATGGAGGAGGAAGGGAAGAGAGAAGAGGAGGTGGTAATTGGATCAAGGTTGACAATGGAGAAAGTAGCTGCTGCTAAGCAATTTATTGAGAATCACTACAAGACCCACATCAACACTATTCAACAACGCAAACAAAGGTAAGGTTACTTCTTTTTAAGAAACATCTTTTGTTTATTTCATTAATTTGATTGTATTGTTTATTTTTGCTTGTTTTTAATTGGCTTCTTATGTGTTTCGAAGCTGGAATTAGATACAACAAGAGTTATGGGTTTTTTGTGGGATTCATCATCCTTTCTTGTTTGGACCAACTTGACTTAATTTTGTTATACTCAGTTGGATCAGCTGGTTGAACTAAGGGAGTATTTTTGTGATAAATAATTGGGGCATTTCGGTGGTGACTTGTCACAGGGTTGATGATGCATTAATTATAAGTAGTGGAATGAAACGGGTCCAAATGAAGATGAACGGACTAACGGACATTGAGGATTCATATAGTCGATCCAACTAGGATTGAGGCACATTTATTGTTGTAGTACTATGTGTGAAGGTATCACTCGTATCCAGCTCTTTAGTACCGGGTTCATTTGAACCCGGTACTTTCAATGCGGAACATAAAAATATGCGTAAAAATTTACTAAAATTGCTACAAATAGTTGATATGAACCCATAACTTTAACAATATAAGGAATTCAATGCTAAAATCTTAAAGGTGGAACCATAAAGTTTAAATCATGAATCTGCCTCCGCTTGAGTTAAGAAGCTTACACTATGATGGTCACATTATCGTTCTCCAGGATAAGCATTTGGTTTCGATGTCACTGGGAAGCATTGAAATCTGTATACTGAAAGCCCCACTTTTAAGCTGGGTGTTTGTGGATCTCACAGTTCTAAAGATTCCGATTTGACTAGTTTGTTTTCTTTGGTCAGAGGACCAGCTGGCAAAGTGGCAAAATCACAAATGCCAACTTTGGAACCCGTTAGAGAGAGCAGTTTTGAGCCTTCTTTCCCATGGGTATGGAAGTTTGTAATAAAATCTGAAAATCTATCAGTTTAAATTGTAGAGCTTGTCAAGAGTTAATAGGGCTCAAATTTAGTTCATGTAGGCGTAATATGTCCAACCTCAAAAGTTAAGATATAAATGGTGATTACAGTTTTATCCAACAAGGAATGTAGCTTAATGTAATTTTCGAAGGATATAAAAGGTGATCAGCATTTTCTTTCCCATGGGTATGCCAGTTATAAAAGATTGGGTGCTATTTGTAGAAAACCATGTATTCTACGATATTATTTACTTATCTTACGTCTTTATTTTTTTCTGATTGGTAAATAATATAGTAAATAGATATCAGCATCAAGTGAGTGCTGAGGAATATGTACAATATAGCATCGGTACAGGTTTTGTAATTTGCTCAAAAAATCCAACATGACTTCTACATCGTTAAAAGAAGCCATATTTACTTTCCTACATTGTCCTTGAAGTAAATGATGTTGGAATATGTGTTAGGAGTGTTTATGTGAGATAGTAAAGGTTAATATGGTCAATTCCATTGCTAATTAATGCTAAAAGGTGGATTTTTTAATTTGTGTGAAAACATCCGAAAAATCACTTATTTTGGACCGGAGGGAGTAGTAATTTAAACTTTAAGAAAAAATTTACTTGATCTTTTTCTAGAGTTCACTGGTGAATCTCTGACTTTTCTTTGACTATATTTCGCTAAGAATAATAACATCTCAATGTGACTGATTAAAAAATAAAGAAAAAGAAAGAATAGCATCTCAGTATGCCACTTACTCCCCTTCCGCCTCTCCCGCTAAAAAAGGAGAGAGAAGTAAAATAAGCTTAGCATGTTGTGTGTACTGGCATATTAATTTTTAAGAATACATTATAAATATACTATATGTTCCTATTAAAAAAAAGTTATATACATATGTGTGTGTATGCATATTATATGTACATACACATATAATACACACACATAAACATACAATTAGGATGTGTAAGTACCATTATGAATGTTAATTTCCTGTAATTATGTAACCTTGATACTCCTTCCTATTTTAGAATATGTACATCACTATTTAAACACACAATAGCTTGAGGGTATAGTTGAGGTAAGCTTCTCTAGATCTCTTCCTCATCTCTTATTTGTTATAATATTGCTTAAAAATAGGCGTTGGATTCTAGAAAGAAAGCTAGCATCTTCGGATGTGCCTAAAGAAGAGCAAATGCATCTGATCAAAGATCTAGAGCAAAAGGAGACAGAGTATATGAGACTAAGGCGGCACAAAATATGCGTGGATGATTTTGAACTTCTTACAATTATTGGCAGAGGAGCCTATGGCGAGGTCAGTATTATTCCTTTAAGGTCTGTTTTTTTTTTGTTCTGATTGCAAGTAAACGATTTTGTTTCATAATTTCTGGTTCCATTTCTACTGTATTTGCATATGCTTGAATATGGACAAACTGATAGTAGAAAGTAGTAATCTATTCCTTCCATTTATGACGCTTTGTATTTTGGTAAATGCCAAAAGGTTTGACGTTTCTATTTATAATATTTTTTTTATGCAACTTTCACAGATTGCAATAGTTCACATTGTCCCTTTGGGGACATCCGACAAAAAAAGTTCAAATTCATTTAATATTTTAATCAAATTTAGAATGATTTCTTTATCAAACAAACTTTTCTCAGCTTGTACAGTATTAATCTCCATCACCCTTGACATAGTACAAAAGTCAAAACAAATATTTTAAATTTCGTACTCTGCAAAATTCATCGAATAATATTGATGGAGGGAGTAGAAAGTACATTCTATTTTGAGCCCTCACTTTAGACTCTTCTCCTTGTATACCATACAAATCTTGAGGAATAGTACAAGGCCATATATCAAGAAGGTTTCTCATTTTTTAAGCCTACCAGGTGTGTAAGATGGTGATCCTGATCCCTAATTTGGTTGGTCTAATTTTTTTTTTGTAAAAAAAAAAGTTGTGAACAATTGATCATAAGAGTACCATGTTAAGATGTTGAGTAGACGCCAGCTTTTGCCGTTGATTTATTGGGCGCGCAGCCTTCATTTTTATTATACCAATCAAGTCTTCCCTGGTTTCCAGCCTTTGACAACTCATTCCAACCGCCTAGGTGTGTCCGATGCAACACTTGAACCCAGAAGTTGTCTGAACCTATTCAGTTTGATATGCGAATTATAAACTAAGTTAACTTTTTTGTATGGATTTCACTTTTTCTGAAATGCAATTAGGTCTACTTCCCATGGGTGCCGCTGAACAGGTTATAAAAAACAAACCACATATAATTTCTCATATGCTGAATCAAGCCTCTCATTTGCCGAATCAAAACAAACTCAAAGCATTGGACTTTAAATAAAGATTAATGCCGTTTAGTTGGTCTGTTTAGGACCAAAAAGTTAGAAACCAGGTCTGTCCCTCCGAAGAACACCAGAACAAAAGGAAAAGTTAATTGAAGCAAAATACAGAAAACATTAGTTAATAAGATTATGCATTTAATTATCATAAGGCAGATAGAAATTTAAAAGTTCAATCACCAAGCGTGGGTCGGATGTCCCCATACATAAAAGATTGAAATGCAAGTATGACCTTTAAGAAGATTCCAGGTGCTTACAAAGATGAACTTATGTCTTTATGAGGAGAATCGACCTAGAGGGAACTGGGACCAAGCACACCAATTATAATTAGAGAAACAACCTTGCAGATCACGAAATATGGATCCGGCTTCAGATTGAGATTGGGTTTTTTGATTAACTTGGTCAAGATCTTGGAGAACCCTCTTGATAGTAGGTTCAGCAGGGAAACCCGAAAAGAACGGTAATTTAGATTAGTTGTGGTCTCTGTGTAGGAACAAGTGAGAGGACATTAACTTTTTGTTACTCTATTGTTCTATTGCATATAGGATACTGTGAGTATTGAGGAACATGTTTGGAGTTGACTGGGTCACAACCAGTAAGATAGACGCTTGAGATGGAAATCTACAAGGAAGAAGCAGAGAAGAAGAACCTTAGTTGTAACTCCTTTGGATCTCATGTGGATGCGAAGGAATAGGGATTGTTATGTGGTGAATAATGTTCTATGGATGTTCTACTTTAAAGGCATTTGTGTCTTTAGATACTTTTATCTCTATATTGCTAATAGACATTTTTTTTAAATGTGGTGTTCGGGCCAGCTTGTGCGCACTCAACCATCCACGTGGTACTTACTACGCCTCATCAACACAGGATGTATTCTCACTTATCCAAAAAAATCTCTATTTTGCTATTACATGTATTTGTATCCACATTTTATCCGGATAAAATAGTACATAAATTCCTGCATAACTTAATGCGGGTATTATTTAAGACCAACCAAAAGCGGTCCAATGGAGAAACATGAGGATTCATATAGCCGGCCCCAAGTTGTTTGAGACTAAGCCATAGTAGTTGTTGTTATGACCAACCAAATGCTGCATAACTTATGGAGAGATTATTTTTCTGAATCGTTCTAGCAAAAAATAGTTCTGCGAATTTTATGCTGGGATATCTTTTCAACCCCTCCAACCAAATGGCCTCTAAGGCTATGTATTGTTGTCTCCTCATATCGTTTTAGGGAATCCTCATCCGATGAGCTAGTTTTTTGGCGTTTGGGCCCAATCTTTAACGCCTTTCTTGTAAGATGTCGCATAATGAAGTACAGACAAAAATCAGCCTAAAGCCTAGCCAGAACAATGATTGCATGGAATTTCCAAAATCAGAGAGATCTCTTTTAAAATGGCTGCTGTTCAACAGAGTACACAAGAACGAAGCTTGAATGGATTAGTTGCACCTCATGTCCCAGAAAGAACTATCTATTCTATTTTAGGGAAGAGTGGAGACTATAATGACTAGCACCTGTTGGACCATGAAGATCATCTCTATCTGATCCAATACCTATGTACCAATGCTCTCAGTTGGCTTCCATTGTTGAAGTTTAGTCAGTCTTTTATCATCTTTGGAGGAGAAAATCAGTATTGTCTATCTTATTCTTTACCAATATCTTCCTCTTCCATGTACGTGGTTGTGTTGCTATAATTGAACGTATCTTTTTACTGATCATTCCTGATTCTAGAATGTGGATTCTTGTGTTCTGCAGGTAAGATTATGCAGGGAGAAGAAATCTGGCAACATTTATGCCATGAAGAAGTTAAAGAAATCTGAAATGCTCATCAAAGGACAGGTGAGAAGAGGAATATTGCCTCCATTATTTTTCAATTGAGTTGTCATTATACGCCTAGGTTTAGCAATTTTCCTGCTACTCTTTAGTAGAGTATGTTATTATGATGCTAAGAAACCTCAGAGTTGGAAATTGACTGCTTATACGCATTGACATACCACTGGTGATGGTGATTTACTGCCAAGCTGTTTTGCCCAATTCAGCATATATCCTGCCGCTCTTACTTTTTATTTATGTTTTCTATGTCCATTATTTCTTAATTTCATCTCTATTTCCTTTTCTACTTGCTCGCTATTTTTCTTTTCCCTTTCCCTTGGGAGGATGGGGGGATGGCAATGGGTTGTCTTTGGATGATCGAAGAACATTTTCAGAGGATCTTGCCTTTTGATTGTAATGACCTTAGCATTTGGTGCACCACTTGAATAAAATAAGATGAAAGAAAAGCCGAACATTGCTTTGATGCAATGACTTCTCCTTACAGGAATTACTTAATTTGCTTTCTGAAAGATCTGCTTTTGAAGGAAGATAGGTCTTATTTTCTTCTATGTTTAGCTGCTATTGCACAATAAATACCTTCAAGTAACTAGTCGTATAAATTAGATAACATTTACTCCTACTATCCCTTTTATACAGTTCTATTATTACCTGGAAAGTAAGACTTTTTCATCAACTATGCGTCTCGGGAACATTATTAAAAAAAATTTATTTCTTGAATGTCATTTATAGAACTTTTTTTTATGCAATGATTTCTCCTTACAGGAATTACTTAATTTGCTTTCTGAAAGACCTGCTTTTGAAGGAAGATAGGTCTTAATTTCTTCTATGTTTAGCTGCTATTGCACAATAAATACCTTCAAGTAACTAGTCGTAAATTAGATAACATTTACTCCTACTATCCCATTTTATACAGTTCTATTATTACCTGGGGAGTAAGACTTTTTCTTCAACTATGAGTCTCGGGAACATTATTAAAAAAAAAATTAATTTCTTGAATGTCATTTATAGAACTCTTTCTCAAGTTTCCGAATATGTAAATTTAATTTCCAAAAGGTGGAGAAATTGATATCCAAAATCAGCCCGAAAGATTACATAGTTTAACCTTTGTATTGTGAATCTTATCATTCATTTTGAGACATATTAAGAGGTTTTACTTCTTAGGATATCCTGCAGTAACATTCAAGTCCAGTTACTGTCACCTTTCATCTTTAAACATATTAATCTTTTTATATTCTGCAATGATCTAAGAATGTTCAAAGAAGACTTCTTATGAAAAGCTTTTGACTAGTGACGAGGTCGCTTTTCCTCATACTTCTGTGTGGATCCCTGGGATACCGAGGAAGATATGTTGCCTCACTTAGCTAGCAGCAAAGGGGTGATTTTGATGGCCGAGAACTTGAGGAAGAGGAAGGGCACTTATGTTAGTGCATTATGTGTAAGGAGTCAGGGGAAGATGTATAGCACCTTCTTCTACATTGTCGGGTTGCCTCGAGGTTATGGTGGGAAATCCTAACATGGTTTGGAACCTATTGGGTGATGCCAGGTCCTGCGAAGGGTTTAATGTTCAGTTGAACCTGTGGAGGAATAAGGAGAAGACACAAGGCTTGGAGTGTTGCCCCGCTTGCACTCATGTAGGTTGTTTGGAGAGAAAGAAATAGGAGAGCTTTTGAGGGCATAGAGATGAATTTTGTACATTTGAGGGATATCCTTTTATCCCTTATTTCCTTTTGGTGCACCCATGAGATTCCTTGTAGTCTAGAAGATTGGGTGACTTTCTTAGAGAACCATCTCTTTTTGTAGGTTTACTACTTTTTGCTATACCTCTTGTATAGGGGCTTTTGCCGTTTCTATTAATGAAATTTATTTACCTTATCACAAAAAAGACCAAACTAATGAGCAGACTCTAGAGCTAATAATTTTGTTCTGACAAACTCCCATTTAACCTACAATCTCTTAGTATTAATGAGGATTTAACTAAGTGTGGTTTATGAAAAGCAAGGATCCACATATGCAGTACCGACTAGTTGAGATTAAGGTTTAGTTATTGTTGTTACACTTGCGCATGTCCAGAAAGGGACAATTGCGAGATTCAGAGAACTTCTAGTGTCAGGAAAATCTGTATTTTGACTTAAAAGACAAATTGATTACCAATATTAGAGTGATATGTTCGCCCAAGGGTGTGGCCTAGTGGTCAATGAAGCGGGGGGACAACCATGCGGTCTCAAGTTCAAATTCCATAAAAGACAAAAAAACTAGGTGATATCTTCCCTTCTATCTAAGCCTTAGTGGGCAGAGATGACCAATATAAGTGCTGTTGGGAGTAGCAGGTACCCTGTGGAATAGTCGAGGTAGGCGCAAGCTGGCCCAAATACCACTGTCATAAAAGAAAAATATTGGAGCGATATGAATGGTAATAGAGCAGATATATAAAGGATTCTCACGGACCTCGACTAGTTTGGGGTTGACGACACATAGTTGGTTAATTGATTCTGCCATGCAGCCTTCCCTTGAACACCTTAACATTAAAACATGTAAAAGGGAGTAAAGAGGGCTTCTTAATACATCCTGGAGCGACAGCGTTTTAGTACTCTGCTCTGATTCAAACTTCATCACTGGATGTGCAAAAAGGCCAGTTTGAGAATTATTCCAAATGCATGTGATAGCTAGTTCTTATATCCTGCATGGTGCATGATTGCTTGAGCTGTTGTGTAGCCATACTTTCAAGTATTTCTGCATTGTTCTTTTGCTAGGTAGAAATGGCTGAAGTTATACAGTACATTTCAAAGTTAAATTATCTCATCAACTTTCACTAAGATTTTGAATTTAGGACAGAAATTAGGAATACTTCAAAATTGGAATTTAACAACAAAAAAAACTTCAAAACTGGAATTTTCCTCATTATGCTCAATTTTCTAGGGCTCTTTGTGATTTTAAAGCTAAAGGTTTTCCCTTTAGTCCTCCATAATAGTATCCTAATACCCTCTCTCTCTTCGCTATGAGAAACAAGGTTTGTCTCTTTAGGTGTTTTATTTATTCATCTATCTAACATGTGATGCTAGATTATATTATCGATTTATCATCCCATTTGCTCCAACTTTAGTGGGTAGGATTATTTTGGCAACTTGTGCTTTTGGGATGGACAGGCTGTCTAGTGGATTAGTCGAGGTGCTTGTTAGCTTGACCAAACAACAAACATCGAAATAAAAAACTTATCACTAGAAACAGTTATAGATCTCTTGTTCAATTTTCTTTATCTTTTAAATTTGAGTGTATCATGGGAATTTTCAGAGAATTCATAGCATGCTCTTTAGGGCTATATCTTATTTGCATGTTCAATGGGGAGACTGGTCTTTCTCCTCATTTTCCCGGACATCTTTTATTTTGAAACTTAACCGAGTTAACCTTCTTCGGGAGCCCTTTCTCATGAAGCTTCTGCAGTGATTCTTACAATAAAGAACCTTATTGCCTTAGAGAACAGAAATGATCGAGTATCATACCAAGTTCATTTATTCCTCTTATGAAATGAAATGATCGAATGTCATATTAAGATTGTTTTTACTGGCTCCAGTGTATGAATGATTAAGACTTTTGGTTGTTGTACTGCAGAGCTTAACATAGCCCATGCATTCTCTATTTAATAGGAAGTTGGAGGGGCGGGGTCTGTGTCATGTTTGCATGTAACATCTGCTTCTTTATGATGTGTTCAAATGTAATATGTCCCCAACTGCGTATTCCCTGTTGACAAATTGATTTTCGCAGGTGGAGCATGTGAGAGCGGAAAGAAATTTATTGGCGGAAGTGGCCAGCCATTGCATTGTAAAATTATACTACTCATTCCAAGATTCTGAGTATCTTTATCTTATCATGGAGTATCTTCCTGGCGGTGACATGATGACTCTGCTCATTAGAGAAGACACATTGTCTGAAAGTGTAGCTAAATTTTATATTGCGCAGACTGTCCTAGCTATAGAGTCCATTCACAAGCATAATTACATTCACAGGTATATGCTTGCATCAACTTCCAATTTGTGAAAGTTATTGTTGTGAGATGATTAAGACGTAAGATAATCTATTTGTATGATATTGGATGCAAATATGCAATAGATTTCTTGAGGCATATTTCTTTTGACGGGGAGACTGTTTGGTGTTCATATTTTCCATTTTCTCTTTTTCAGAGATATCAAACCTGACAACCTTCTTTTGGACAAAAACGGTCACATGAAGCTCTCTGATTTTGGTCTCTGTAAGCCTCTTGATTGTAGAACTTTATCCACGTTGAAAGAACATGAAACTATGGATGATGAGAATAGAGATGATCCGATGGATATAGATAGCAGCTTCCCAGATGCCCGTGACGGAAGTAAGTGGAAAAGTCCCCGTGAACAACTTCATCATTGGCAGATGAACAGGAGGAAATTGGTATGTTATATTACTGATATATGTTTTTTTTTCCTTTGGGTTGTGTGAGGATTGTGTCATAAGGCTTACAGTTATACTGTTATTGACGCAAAAATAAGCAAACGCTCCTAAAATGAGAGAGTTTCTCCAACAGCACACTTGAGTAGTGAAGGCGCCGTCATCTTTGCTGTTACTATACTCATTATTGCAGACACAGAAACTCAATAAAAGGAAACTATTTATTGCAGACACTAGGACCTTCCAAATCATGAAAGATTCTCTGATTTGGTCATTTTATTTTCCTACTTCAAGTCAAATAATCCGTTTTAGCATAATTTCTGTCACCATTTAACTTGCGTGTCAAATCCACCATTTTGCACTGCAACTTCAATCCTATTTTTAACTTCAAATTCGGGCTAATACCAGAATAATACCAAACTATTTTAGAGTACAATAGACCATTCTGAGACCGAAAATTGAAAGAACTTATTTCAGAGTTCAATTTAAATCTTTTGAACTAATCGAGAACAAGAACGACAAGAATAGTGGTGGACGCACACCACGGATTCAAACTTTTTGGGTGAACCAACTCTGATATCTAAGTGGAGAAGGGTAGAGGAATTGGTCCATGATCCATCGAGTGTTGAAGCTATAGTAGGTGATTTCATGGTTATCAACAAAATACAACGCAAGGTGGCAACACAGTTGTAGTGGAAATGGTTGGTGTACAATGGATGATGTCGGGTATAGTGAAGGAAGCTTTCAACTTGGCCCGTGAAAGAAGGAAGAGAAAACGCAAAGCATAGGATGTTGCCCCACTAGCTCTTATGTGGGCCCTGCTGGCGTAGAGAATAATTTTGTGTATATGAAGAATAACCTCTTATTTCTAGTTTCCCCTTTATCACCCATTAGGTTCCAGTCTGTATAGAAAACTGGATACTTTGTAGAGAACCGTATTTTGTTGTAGGCTATCAACTTGGTGGCATATTCTTGTATACAGAGATTTCCCATATAAATAATATTATTTTACCTTGTAAAAAGTAAAATGGACCAAAAAGTGAATAATTGAATTAGTTCACAAAAATTTGACAGCCAAATTTGCCCAAAGATGTCGAAACCATAGCACATTAATTGTGAAACAGGGAGTCTCTTCTATTTCATTTAAACGATGAAAGATCTATGTTTTAACAAAGGTTTGGTTAATGGTACTTCCAGCTGAAATAATATCCATTTGAATACTATTCGAATCTATTGTTATGCCCTTTGAAACCTAACTATTTGATGTGTGTAAGATGCAATTTGCTGCATTATAATTGAACTAAGTTTTGTCGTGCTCCCAACCATATGCACTTATACAAAGCCAGATCATGGCAGGAACCAGAAGTTGTATGGGCTTGTATTTCTGTCCATGGAATAATGCTTTTCTTGCATATGACAATAACTGTCATATAATCGAAATATTCGCTTTTGTAGACCACCATAGTTCTTTGTTATTCAGCAGTATTATATTTTATATGTACTTGAAACTAATTTTTGCCTTCATTATCTAAAAGGCATTTTCAACAGTCGGTACGCCAGACTATATTGCTCCTGAGGTACTATTGAAGAAGGGATATGGGATGGAATGCGATTGGTTAGTGTTTATTCTGAAATTATAGTAAGCTTTTTTACGATAGATCACCAAGATATCTTGGATTCTCTGCTCATACATGTCAGTTCTGTGCATGACTCTATTTGACAAATATCTATAGTGAGACCCTGTTCAATTGGTGCATAAATCTGACAAGAGGACTTTACCGATCATTTAACTAATTGATGGATTTCCCTCCCAATAAATTGCCTACTATGCTTCTGTCTTCATTAGTTTGCTTTCCAACATATGTGGTGGCATGTATTTACTGATAATGATAATTAAAAACAGTATTCTCTATGTTTTGTTTTATAAGACTCTTTCCTTTTCAGTCTGCTCCATAAAGATTGACATACTTCTATATTTGGAAGTCTCAATAATAAAATGAAGCAATGGCAGAAAATATTTGTGGTACCTCTATGTCCATCTTAACAAAATTCAATCTAGCAAATACCAATTATCTGCGAACGAAGAAATATAGCAGCAAAAAAAAAAAAAGACCTACTGGACGAGGAGTGGAATGGTTAAATAACCTCACTAACTGAGAAAGCAGTCTAAGGTTATCTGTTATTTTATGGGCAGCTTGCTTATGTTGGGAAGGCGAAGGAGAAGTAGGGAGGAGCAAGGACATCAGTGTAAGCAGGGGAGGGTGCTGCATGAGGTAACGGGAATAGGAGAGGGATGGGAGAAGAAGGAAAGATTTTGGTGCAGGTGCAAAGGGGGCTAGCGAAAGAGTTCACTGTGGGAGGAGAGAGCACGTTAAGTTGAAGGGAAAGGGAATAGAGAGTTTCTAGATGCTGGGCCATGGAAGGGGTAAGGAAGAAGGGAGTTTGAAAAATCAGTGAAGGGTTTGCCCTTCGTCCTTTTATGTCTAAGTGTAAAACTGTCAATTCAGTGCTTAACCTACCTACCTCCCCCCTCATGCCTTAACCACTCCGGGGATGATATAGGCTGGAATTGGCAGATAGTTGGGCTTGGCAGGATATCTGATGCTACAACATCCAGTCCCTCATCTGGCTATCAGTGAAGTTTGGGATTCCGTGGAACTTCACTGATAGCCAGACCATTTCCACAGATGTAGTCCCTATGTTTTCACTTTAGTTTGATGAGTACTGCAGGAAATGCTTTTGTTTTCTAACCCATTGTATGGTATCTACTCGTTATTTTCTATAAATAAATAAAAAAAATGAACCATGCTGTGCTTTATCTGTTTCTCATCTTTTATCTGCTATACTGCATGCAGGTGGTCCCTTGGTGCAATTTTGTACGAAATGCTCGTTGGTTACCCTCCATTCTATGCTGATGATCCAATAACTACTTGCAGAAAGGTAGCATCTTTGCTTCTGTATTTTTACTTCTTGCATTTCTTCATGTATGTTTTTTTCCTCTTTGTATGATAAGGATATCTGCTGCTGCTGAGATAACAAAAAGTGCCCTGCTGCTTTCACTGTTAAAACCTATAGAGATTAAGAGAAAAAGTTCAGTGCTAAGAACTTTCTGCAAAATGTCCACAGAGAAAGAACTAGAATTCGTATATGTAATTTGGTCCAAGTAAGAACCAACTTTCGTTTTTGTGTTACCGAACCTGAGACCTTTCCACTTGGTACTTGACCACATAGATTAGCCTGTGTTGTTTGGGTCAAATGGTTCAATTTTTCTACCTTTTTGCACTAGAAGTCTCAGCAGATGTATTGCATTCACACTGATATGCTTTGCCACTGCTACAATCAATGTTTACTATGAGATGTGTAGCGTTAGTGACACCCATTTCTGTATTATCCACAATGTACTGGTTGCCTTCATGTTGAAACTAACCTTCTTTTAGGATTCTCCTGTTAATCGCCAAATCTATCAGATTTTGACTCCATGTGTGTGCTTGCCAGATAGTTCACTGGAGAAATCAGCTAAAATTTCCTGAAGAGGCCAAGCTCTCCCACGAGGCAAAGGATCTTATCTGCAGGTTACTATGTGATGTTGAACATAGACTGGGCAGTGGAGGTTCAAACCAAATAAAGGTACTATTTAAATCATTTACATTCAATTGCTTTTACTGGAACTTTCATGTTTGCTCTGTTAAATTTATTCCAAGCGATTGGTATCAGGCTCATCCTTGGTTCAAGGATATTGTATGGGATAAGCTGTATGAAATGGAAGCAGCCTTCAAACCAGAAGTTAATGGAGAGCTGGACACCCAGAATTTTATGAAGTTTGATGAGGTATTTCACAAAAGTCAAGGACTCATTTTTTTTAATTAGGAAAAGTCATTACCAGTGATGTACACCCTTTTAATCCTTTTAAATCTCTAATATGTATTTTTAACACCTATAGTATTTTTCTTATATGCTTTTATCAGTACTATTTTTCTTATTTTATTTATGCATTACTGTCCCACCATCTGCATTAACTCACAAAATGGACGGCAACATGTGTCTTCTTTTCACTGTCTGCTTAGAATATTGGTAATGTGTGAATTGCCTCATCCAAAAGGTTAAGTTTTCTGCACCACACCCTCTCACATGCGGGTTTGATTCTTTTTCTTGGTCAGAGTACGTAAAATTATTTTTTTGATTGGCGTTGGTGAAACTCGAATAAGGATATGTGCTTCCTATGTAACCATGTGAAGTGTGCAGACCCCCTCATCTAAGAGATCTATTCCTTTATGTAGGTTGCCCTTCAGAAGATACAAGTCACATAGTAGGCATTGCGTATAACCTTTTACAGTGGCAGCTTCTTGAAGCGCTATTTTTTCTCAAACAAATAACATCAACCCATGATTGGTTATTCTCGTACTCAGTGGCGTGTGTTTCCTCAATTGTGCGTTCTTTTTTTTCTTAATTTGGATAGATACGTCTTTTGTCGACGAGTTGCTGAAGTTTGAACTCGATAGCTATGGGCATGCACTGGAGTTAGGTTTAAAAGGGGCCAAGAGACAGGAAATGTGTGATTCTGCAGAAATGAAGGAGTTAGGAAAGCAATAAGAGAGATTGATGCTAAAGAATTAGTACTGGTTTCAGATAAACAATTTCCCAGAGTTCTCCAGGAATAATAGATATAAAAAATGTCTGTTAGAAGGGAAGGTCCTCTGAAACCAAGCTTCTTCATTTTTACAGAGACAAGCACATTTCTACATATTTTTCTTTACTCGAAAATTAGTTGGCAGGCACACACACTCTCTCTCTTTATATATACAACAACAACAACAAAACCAGTGTAATCTCATAAATGGTGTCTAGGGTCTCTCTCTCTTATATATATATATATATAAAATTTATTTTTTACTTTCTTATTGGCCCTTTTTCAATCCTAATTTCATCTGATAGCCACAGTTCTCTAGTTTGAATGTCAACAACTTGTCGACTACCTTGAATATTATCCATTCAACCCCAGAATTAATGAACAATACAGTTGAGGGAACCACTAAGGCCTCATTTGTTTGCACTTAATGGAGGTCTGAATCTTAATCATTCAGATCTCAGACATTAAGTGCGTTTGTTTTTAAAGTCTGCATCTTAATTATTCAGATCTTAATCATTAAGTGTGTTTGTTTTTTTTACTTCACAACCACTTGATGGGTCTGAATAGGTCTGTATGATTAAGATCTATAACAGAGACTTAATTTCTTTAAGATACTATCACATATTCATTATTAACTGCCGCCATCGCCTACCATTATCAACTACCACAACGCCACCACCAACACCATACTCAACCACCACCACCGCCGCCATCCTCAATCATAGCCGCCACCATTATCGACCATCACCACCCACTATCCCCACCACTCCGACCACCATCATTCTCACCCACAATCAACACTCATCTACCTCAACTACCACAACTGACCACCTCATTACCATCAACAACCACAGCCGGCACTGCCCATCATTATAACCTACCACCACCCACCCACCATCTTCCTCAGTCACAACTACTTCCACCACCCGCCATTATTAACTATCACCACCCACCACCACCATCCTCAATCATAATCACCACCATTACCAATCACTGCTAGCTACTAGCATGAACCACCATCATCAACCAAAACTACCACCAACCACCGCCTCTAGTCGGCATTCACCCGTTAGCCATCACCACCACCAACTATCATATTTTAAAAAATTATATATTTTATTGATAGAATATTAGATTAGTTAGTATTTCATTTGAATTTTATGTTTATTAATTTTCAAATAAAGATAAATTTTATATATTCAGATGTGTATTCATATTCAGATGTCTTAATTCAGACGTCTTAATCTTAAAAGAAACAAATGGGGCCTAAGTTGTGTACAACAATAACCATCATGAGATTTTTACTATTTGTTCGAGTAAGATAACGCTCTTCAAGAAACCGTCATTGCAACAGCTTGCAATCATATCTACTTGTATCTTTAGATAGGCAACCTAATAGAAAGGAACCGACATGCCATTTTCTTTGGGTGTACTTTTTTTCGTAGCCCAAGCACACACAGAATTTTGTTGACGTGTAATATTCAGACTCAAATCTAGGATTTTTGTTTACTTTGGTACAGTGTTGAAGTGTGAATCGCCTCATTTCTTGAGGTTTAAATTATTAGAGAGGATGCACTTCTGTTTAATTATTTATATCTGCAACACGTCCCCTAATGACCATTTTCAAAAAGACTTCTCTCTCTTCTTCGGTTCTCTTTTCACGAAGAAGCTGGAGGATAAAGCAATTTGTTTCTTTCCTAGTCATCCCACTTTTTAAATTGAGTCTTTAAGAGTTGCTTTGTATGACTCCATGAGTAGCTTATTCTTTTCTACTAGTTAACTTTATGCTGAAATCTCAATGTTATACTTACTGCTATACGTGTGTTAGGTTAGTCAAGCTTTCTCCTTATCTCTGTTTCTAGTCAAACTTTGTCAACTCGATAGTGTGCATGATCTATAGTTCTGCCATCTTTTAAAGGCAACTCCTGGTGAGGATTTTGGGTTTGATTTTCGAACTTGCAGTCTTCAATCTTTGATTAACCTATTTGCAGGAATATGCTTGATTCACAGTTTATGCTTCCATAACTAAAATTGTACTTTGTCACCGATCTTATTCTAGTTCAAATATAGTCTTCTAGTGGTTTATTTATCTTGTACATGTCTTTCTCCTTGTAAGTAACTTTGTTCTTGCCTTCTGAACTTCTTCTTAGATGGTTACTACATCATCAGCAAGATCCGGTTCGGGACCTTCTCGTAAGGTTAGTAACCGAGTGTTTCTTTTGTATCTATTTCAGCACCTTATAAATATGGTAGAATGGTATGGCCAATAATCTGATAAAGTATGTGCATCCTTAACCCACCACTTGCCTGAAATTCTGCAGCAACGAGCAAAAGAGTGAAGCTTAGAAGGGTTTACTACTCAGAATATACTATTGAATCGTGTTTTGGTTCCATTTTAAAAAAATAAACTATCTAAATATGTTTTTATCAACTCTTATCCAAAATATATATACAAGCTATTATGAATTATGCAAACAATTGCTCTTAAATTATGTATATATATACTTCTGAGGCCTGTAGATTTTTTATATCTTTTCTATATCTTTTTCTTTTTTTGAGAAGGATATATCTTTTTTCTTCTTTAGTAATAGATATATCGATCCAGTTGACACCACATAATTGCATACAGACAATTGGGTAAAACTTACCCGTCTGGACATGTATAACATGCTTTATGAATCGTCAGTAAAGTAGATCTTTTTACTCATATCTCTACTACCAAAAAGAAAAAAAAAAGTGAAGTGGATCTTTTATTTTGATCTTTTTGTTTTGTTTCTTATACATCAGCTTACATTAGTCCTCCTAAAAGTCATGACATTTCGCATTCAGAATACATGTCCATTTCCTGGGATTCCTGTCCTTACATGATAAAGTAATGAAACAAAGCTAGATACAATTTAAAAGTGGACATAAAAGTGTCTGTGCAAGTGTTTTAGAAACGTGGGTTTGAGCATAACTTTGCAAGTGTTCTGAAAGGATGGTAAGTTTTCCTTAATGTTCCTGGTGCAGGCTGCATGATTTGTGGTACATCTAGAAATTTATGTGTCAGTAGTCCCATTTATCTTAGTATTCTTGTACCTAACCAATAAGAAGATTATCAATATTTCAAGTTAAAGTAATCGATGCAAAATAAGGTCCTACTAATTTTTCTTTGCAGCCTCTGGAAGTTAGTTATCTGACTTTGGGTTTCATGTTTATAGATGTTATTAACTCCCAAAGATTTAAGTTTTGTGGGCTATACATACAAAAACTTTGACGCTGTCAAGGCACTACGCAACTCTCCTGGTAAGTCATTTGTTCCCTTTTCAAGGCCTTCTACCACTGAGTAATATACTTTAGTTTTCATGTTTCTGTTTGCTTTATGAAATGGAAAAAGTTAGTTGTATCCTAGTCTACTTCTAATTGCAGAGAGTGATGCCATCCTTATTTCATTTTTCCCCAGATCCTACGAGGGACACATCACCTAGACGACCATCTATTGATTCCATATTCAGTAAGTGTTAGACCTTGAATGTTGTTTTATACCAAACTTGTTTTTCTACTTGTCTAATTAATATGTCTGCAGGTGATTCTACGGACTATCCTGCAAGAAAAGGAAGAGCTGGGGATCTAGATACGGAGATGATAACATCTACTGGTAATGCAATATCTCCATGATATTGCCAATGTTTAATTGGAAAAGACAAGGGAACTACAAGGGGAGGTAGCATACACCTGTTGTATTTGATCAGGTTGCTCACCCCTTCATCAGCATTCAAGATGGTTCCCTCTGCATTTTGCAGAAATATCGTGTAAGTGTACAGTAGTGTTTGAGAAACTTCGTTGATTTGTAGGACATGGAAAACTGTTTGTATGGAAGATTTGTGCAATAGAAACTTAGGCTGATTGGTGTATATTGCCCTGGCTGCCCAGGTTGGCAATCAAATGCTTTCTCTTGTGGCAGTTTCTGGTCATATAAATTTTAATTAATGGAAATAAGCATAAAGTCTTCGACTTTTGGGGTCAATCATACTGTTTTGTTTCTTCTTCATATACTGGCAAAACTCTGCATCTGCCTGTGAGGTTTCAACTTTGTATTTTCATGTTTTCATCTGTTGCAGACCAGAAAATATTGATATCCTGTTCCATCTTCTCTCTTGGTTATTCCTTCTCCCTTGTGAGGCTTTTCCATTATTGAGGACCGTGATATGTTAGACCTTTTGTGCAGAAGCATTGAGACATGGCAAAGAATTCGTTGAGAGCATTCCCAAAGTCCAAAACATAGTATTGCATGCAAAAGATAACATGCCATCATTATTTTTACGGAAAAGGGCCTAAACTACCATGGTTTACGGTTGCCCTCCGTCCACCTATTCGTCCAAAAAACACACAACGTTAATTCTATTAACAAAATTACCCGGCGACTAACGGCAGAACATGTGGCCTTCTATTTAGTGACATGGCGATTTTTCACTGGGCCACGTGGCAATTTAGGTCTGAAACAACATTTGGGTCTTATTTTGGATCAGGTAAATGGGCCAAACTCGGCTTACTCACAGTATTCGACCCTAGTTTTTTTTATCCGGGTCAAAATTATATTAACACGGAAAAGAGTCATCTGCTAAGCAGATTTGACTTAATGAGTTTATCATTATTATTATTATTAGGATTGTGATAAAGCTAAGGAGTGGACATGGCTGGAAGTATAGGCTGAACAATGGCCAGCAGAAAGACTTCTGCTTTGGTGAGAATCAATTGGGATTTTTTCAATCTTTTAAGATTTTGTGTTTAGTGTGTTGTTTGAATGTAAAGTGGTTCTTCTTATCTTATGTGGTTTGATGTTCTTGATTTATTGTATTAATATATAACTTTAAGTTTCAGATTTTATGTTTTGAATTTTTAAACTCTTTTACTTCAATGTTGTATTTTTTATCTTTCTTTTGAAGTAGAGGAAGAGGGAAGGGGAAAATATGAAGCTAAGGTTGGTGCCTGTATGTGGTATTCTGTGATTTTAGATGATCATCTTCGATGTAGAACGGCATCTGATTGATTTTTGTAGACACAAATCACGCATCAATTTGGTCTATATGTCTACTTGTATCACTCAAAGCTCTTCAATCAAATTAAATGTATAGTTTCAGTGCTTTATGCTCTCATCTTTTGTACTAAAATATGTTATGCTCTCATCTTTTGTACTAAAATCTGTTCGCGAGGATCTTGGAAGTGGCGAAAACGAAAAAATATCAGTTAGGAAAAGCGGAAGACCGTAGAAGCCATGGAAGGATGAAATAGAGGAGGAAGAAGAAGCCGAAAAGGTTATTTTTTAACCTGCATTGTAAAAGAATTGGGGCAGGTTCGGTTTATGGGGCGGGTACTGAACCCATATGTGCTGTCTAACCCAAAATGCCACGTGGCCCAATAAAAATATGCCAACTCATTAAATAGAAGGCCCACAGGTTCTGCCATTAGTCGCGGGGGTAATTTTGTTAATAGAATTAACTTCTGTGTGTTGTTTTGGATGAATAGGTGGACGGAGGGCAACTGTAAACCATTTAGTAAACAATAAGGGTAGTTTTGACCCTTTCTCGTTATTTTTATATGTATATATAATAGTGGTGTCTAGATCATCTTGCGAACATGCATCGGACTGCAGTCCATCAAGACTTGGAAAAAATTACCTGCCTTTCTTTATCAGCCTGCACTAGATATTGAACATTAGCCCAAGTTTTTCACCACTTTATTGATGGCTAAGCCACATTCTTGGGCTTTTGACATGCTGTCCTTATATTCCCTCCAAGGTCCTTAAAATTTACATTTTGGCTTTCATTCATCCAATGCCTTATAGAATCTGGCTTGTGTCCGTTGAACCTTTGGTAGGTAAACAGGGAACTAAAAGGAATGGTATTTAAAGTACAAAATTATCTATTTTTGAAACAGGAATTAAAGTAGTAGATCTTTTAGCCCCTTATCGCAGTGGAGGAAAAATCGGATTATTCGGGGGAGCTGGAGTGGGTAAAACAGTACTTATTATGGAATTGATTAACAATATTGCTAAAGCTCACAGGGGCGTATCCGTATTTGGCGGAGTGTTAATATTGCTAAAGCTCACGGGGGCGTATCCGTATTTGGCGGAGTGGGTGAACATACTCGGGAAGGAAATCCATTTTCTCATTAAACGAAAGGTACGAAATAAATCAGATTGATAAAAGTACCATGTGAAATCTTCGATTTTTCCCCTTCCTCGATCCCTATCCCATAGGTTAGGTACAGATCTGTTCTTCAATATAACAGAGCGTCTTTTTTCCTTAAGACTAAAATGAATGTAAAAGATAATTAAAAAAAATAATCAATTCACCTTTCAACTTTCTCCTCTTGAAAAAACCAAAATGACGAAAGTTAAGTTCCTAATCACTTCTCCACTTTCCAAACAAAGGAGAAATCACATAAACTATACCACGAAATAACCTTAGTACAGGACTAAGGTTTTTGACTCATGTTTCTCTTATACTTGGTGGTGTACCCTGTGAACCAAAATTTCAAACTCACAATCAATAAGTACAAGAAGACAACAAAAACCATTAAAACAAGAAACTGCACTCGACTCCAGACCCCAATTAAAATCCAAAGCACCACAAAGACCAACAAATAAGACCACAAGAGACATTGCTTATATCTATCATATCTATAGGATCAGACAGAAACAATGAATACTATAAACCTTTCGAAAAAGAAAACCCTGACTGACAAATACAAATAATTTAATTCTTCTCAACAGCATTCTCTTCCTTCTTATCTTCCTTTTCCTCTGTAGGTGCAGGGGCAAATAATTCAATTCTTCTCAACAGCATTCTCTTCCTTCTTATCTTTCTTTTCCTCTGTAGGTGCAGGGGCTTCTTTGTCTTCAGCCTTGTCATCTTTATCTTTGCTTTCAACACTAAGTTTTTCAATAAGTTCAGTAGCAGCAGCAGCAGCTCCTTCACTTTCTTCAGATTTCGTCTGTTGAGATTCAGCAATTTCTTCAACCTTTTCTTTGAAAGATTTGCAATCTGAGAGACAAGATAAAAACTAAGTTATACTATGGTTTTGAAGCACCCAGAGGTAATGTGAAGAATCGCTCCATTATCTTATATAACTCTAGTCTACAATTCTTGAGTAATATCAGACAGTTGTGCAGCGTTGATTTAAGATGAGTTGCAGCTTTACAACCCATGCAAGAAATGTTATCAAGTTTAATGAATGTACTCAAGGAGGTTGGAGCCATTAATCAGTAATCACTATAATGTGGAATGGACTCAGAAAATTGCGATTTACAAGTCAAGAATATCCCAGAAAATTCATTTCTGATACTAGATTCATCAACCTCAAAATCATATTAGTGAATAAACATTACTTAATTACCATAATTCATCGGCAAACTCTAATCAGTACCTAAACCCATACAAGTACCAATTCCCAAACATCATTCCTTAGTATGAGCTATCATAGACGTGAAGAACCTATATTTATATGCTGATAATGCTCATCTGTCTTCATATTGTTAATGTCATACTCATTCCAAGAGGTTGCATGTGATTTAACTGGTGACCCAGTCTCTGTGTTAACTTATTTCTTTTTTCATCTGGCACTTGATAAATCACCTTTTGACATAGAACACGTAAAATAGCATATGGCAATCCTATCCAAAGCACTTTCGCGTGGTAGGACATCAAATACAAAGAAGAAAAATTACTCGAAAAGCATGTTTTAGCTAAAAGCAGAACAATAAAATCCAAAAGATGCATAAACAGAGTACTCACTCTCAATTGAAGCAAAACGAATACAAAAGGTCTCCTCTTTTAGTTCCCCATCAGCAAAATCAGCAGCATGCCACACGCAAGACTTCTCATTTCCAGCATGTTCTTGAATCGACATAGTAGGAAGGACTACACAAACGATTATCAAACAACACTTCAGAATAAATACAATCACAAACACATAATAGAAAAACAAAACGATAAAGAGAGATTCTGACCCAAGTGGTTGGCGCAGATTTTCAGTGTCTTGGATTGTCTCATGACAAGCCTAACCTTTCCAGTTTCCTTGTGCTTGAGAAGCTTCACAGTCCCAGCACCTCTCTCTTTCCATGCATTCCCTTCCTTATCAAATCTGTATAACTTTGACTTCCTACAATACCCACAACCACGTCACAATCACAATCACAAACATTCACAAACAATTCTCTCTTTTTGCTTGCCAAAAGGGATAGTTCACCAAAATTTTATGTACAACTCCATCCCCCCCAAGAATGGGGTTTGGCAAGAATAAACTCAATTCACTTTCCTTGAACTTTTGGAATAAGATTACATACATAAAAATGACATAAAAGATAGTAATATAATCATGCATTATACTTAAAAATATTTTTTAGTCATGTGATGGCATGCTTCAACTATTCCACCCGGTATTTGCTAACACTCTGCAACATAGGTACGAGATAACTCTACAAAAAGCTTTTTTATACTTAAAAACAATTTTAAAAAATATTTGAAATCACAATCAAATGAAAGAGTCTAAATGGAGCAACATGATTTAGCGATCATTCATACAGCCGACCCCAACTAGATTGGTATTCAGACACAGTAGTATTTTATGCAATCTCGAAGAGCTTAAAGAAAAAAATAATAAACAAATCTATACTCTTTAAGTGGGTAAATACAGGATTAGGGGATACTAACAGATCAAGAAGAACGTCTTCATTTTCTTCACCAGTAGAGACAGAAACTTCTTGCAGCTTCACAATTGGAGCAACTTGAGCACCAGTGTCTTCATCATCTGCAGCAGCGCTTGGGTTTTCTTCTACTACTTCCTCTTCTACTTCTTTCTTCTCCAATTTAGGCTCTGCACTGCTTGCCATTACTCGATATGATTTTGGTTTTTGCTTCTGTGTGTGTGCCTTAGAACTTTTTTGCTGTGGAGAGATACGGCGGGGTGAATGGAATTGTAGGGTTTGAAGAAGAATGGAGGAGGACGTAGGGTTTTTGATTGAAGAGAACTTGGCTTTTTTGCTTTTTTTGTGGTGGAAATTGTATTGGTAGTCCTCTAGGTTCAATTAAACTACAGATTTGGCCCCTTTTCAACCTTTATTTATTTCTTTTAAGAATTTTTTTTTGTGTGTAATTTACAACAACAACAACAATAAAAATCCACAAATGAGATTTGGGAGGATAATGTGTAGGCTGATCTTACCCCTACCTTATGAAATGGAGAGGTTGTTTGCAAATAATTATTCTTGTGTAATTTAAGTATTTCTTTTTCTTACCTTTAAAAGTTACAACCTAATCGTTTAGGTAAACTTAATTTGTTCAACATAATAGAAATCATCTCTTAATTCTCAATTAACGGAGATCGAAAGCATTAATGGACGGTGTTTGGTGAGGAATTGATATTTGAGAATATTAAAGATATTGAGTGACCGGGTCAAACCATGTTTTCGATCGAAAATTAAATTTATAAATTACGAAATAACCAGCAAATACACACTTAACGTGTGGTATAAGGGAAAATATTTTTCTGAAGAATAGATAATTATCTTACTTATTTTTTGATATTTTGTTACTAAGCAAAAAATATTTATATAAAATTTAGGAAAATACTCGAAAAAAAGGAGGTGGGTGGGTGGTGGGGTTCGGAGGTCGAGGTCGGTGTTGGGGCATGGGGTGAGCAGGGGAGTGATGGAAGGAATTGGTGGTTTGCGACGAGGGGGTGGGAGGGATGAGGGAGTTGGTGGATACAGGGAGGGGTGCGTTGGGGCCAGGGAGGGGGGCAGGGCGCGGGGAGTGGGGCTGAGTCGGAGTCGGAGTCGGCGTGGATTATAGTATGGGCTGGAAGTGTTGTTTTCCCCTTCCTGAATTAAAGGATATGAAAATCATTGGCATCAGAATCGGAAAAAAAATGAGTTCATACGAAAATATTTTCTCGAATATCTAAGCTAATAAGGTTGTATTGACCATATATTATTAAGAACGAAAGTGTGAAACATAAGAATACTGTTTTAGTGAAGAGTGAAAGTATGAGATTTTATTGAATTTCTTTTATAACTTAAGAATTGTACTAAGTTATGGCTTTATAACATTTCAGTTGCTTATATTTAATTCTACTATATTTTGAATAGTGAAATATATATTTAATCTTATTTGATATATTTATAGGCATACAAAATTTATTGGATTTAGATTCAATAAAATCATTTGGACTATACTTTAAATTAAATACATTTTAGTCCAAATAAATATTATGGGCTAATATAATTGGATCAATTCTATATGTCCAATTTATATGGACTAAATAAATAAGTCTTAATCCATTGTGTTAGCCCATTAAATTGGGCTAAAGTGATGAGCCCGCTTCATTAAGCCCAAGATGTCATCTTCTAGAGGCCTAGTTTGGTGCCACGTGTCAAATGACGTGGCGTGCCAAGTCAACGAAAGAGCCAATAGGATTCTGCCATGTGTCAAAATGACAAGGCATGCCAAGTCAACGAAAGAGCCAATAGGATTCTGCCATGTGTCAAAATGACAAGGCATGCCAAGTCATATTAAAAGGCCAATGAAATCGCGCCACGTGTGCAAGTGACATGTTCTGGCCAATCAAATGCGGCATTGTCACACTTTAATTTGATTGGCCGGAAAGAGTTTGTTCTTATCATAACTCTTCCCTCCCACAACTATAAATAGGGGTCTTCATAACCCAGAAAAAGGACAAGAAGTTATAACAAGAAGCAAAAGAGAGCTCATGGATCAAAAGCTGCAGATTTCTCTAAAAGCTACAAGCGTTCAAGTGTTCTAAGGATTAAAAGATCAAGACGATGATTAAAGAACAAACTGCAAGCCCTTGGATTAAAAATACATCAAGATCAAGATCAGGCCTCAAGCACTTGGATTAAAATACAAGAAAATTCAAGATTAAGTTCAAAAGCTCTTTTATTTACTGTTCATGAGTATAATAAAAGGATTCATAGAGATTGTAACACTCAAATATTTGAAATAAAATACTACGATTGTTGCAATATTTTTCGGTCTTGATTTTATTTTCTCGACGCAATTTTTTATCTACAAATTCTGGCATGCCCAGTGGGACAATTTCTACCTCTCATCTCAACTTTTCAATCACCAAAGTCCAAGAACGTCGAAATGGCTTCAAAGAAAATCAACTCTAGATCAACATCCACCAAGGGTCTAACTCCAGGTTCTATGCTGATGTGGAAAGCATCATCGATGTTACCTTTGGAAGCTTCGAACCAGTTACGAGGAGCAAAGCAAGCTCTTTAGGACAACAAGCACTCCAAGTGTCATCCGCATCAACCCTTGTTTTTGGATCTTCATCCTAAAAAAGAGCAAGATCTTCCACAAACGCACGAAGGAGAAAGCGATGTTGCTGAAAAGATCAAGAAAACTCTTGCTCTGCTTGACCTCTCCGGATCCAAGAACTTTGCTGTGAAGGAAGATGATGATGTTTCAAGTGATGGATCCTCCCCACTTAAACCACATAGCGTGAGCAATTCGAGAATCAATCTGTGCGACAATTCATGCTACTCCCCATCATATACAACAATCATGCAAGCCATGGTGACAAACACTTCATCTGTGGAAGAGCAGTTGGCAAACTTGACGGAAGCAATCGCTGGCTTGACCAAGTGCATGCAAAATCAAGGTGCTAGAATTGACAAGCTAACAGACAGGGTGGGAATCTTGATGGAAGAAGAATCCACCCATGCACCTGGCAAGCTCCCAGAAGTTCCAGAGATTGATTCTCCCCCAAGACGAGTAGCATCCGCTAAGGCTATCCCTGTCTCATCTGAAGGGATGATTCCCATTGATCAACTGAAGGAGTTCATTGAAGGAACTATTAAGAATAAGTATGAAGTTACTGCCAAGTCCTCCCTTCCATACGCAAACCGTACATTGCAAGGATCGATATGTTGAAGATGTCTGCTGGCTATCAACCTCCAAAGTTTCAACATTTTGATGGTAAAGGCAATCCAAAGCAACATGTGGCGCACTTCATTGAGACATGCAATAACGCTGGGACTTATGGAGATTAACTCGTCAAATAGTTTGTCCGCTCGCTAAAAGAAAATGCTTTTGATTGGGATCAACTAGAGCAAGAGTTCCTCAATCGCTTTTATAGCACAAGGCGCACTGTGAGCATGGTGGAACTCATAAATACTCATCAACGGAAGGGTGAACCAGTTATCGACTTTATCAATCGTTGGAGGAATGCAAGCCTCAACTGTAAAGACAGGCTTAGTGAAGCTTCTGGCATAGAGATGTACATCCAAGGCATGCATTGGGGATTGCGCTACATCTTGCAAGGTATCAAGCCTAGAACATTTGAAGAACTTGCAACTCGTGCCCATGACATGGAATTGAGCATGGCCTCCACTGGAAATGAAAGTTTGCCCATCTATGAACCTCACAAAGGGAACGACAAGCAAGAAGTCAGGAAGTGGGGCAAGTTCGTACCCAAGTTTGAAAGCAAAGAAGCTATGAATGTCAACACATCACCTGTGAAGTTCACGACGAAGGTGAGCAAGAAGTAGAGTATGAAATCCACTTCTTTTCAAGATAAGCCAAGTGGAAAGTTGATTCTAAAGGAAATGCAAGAGAAAGAGTACCCATTTCTGGATTCTGATGTGCCAGCCATTTTCGAAGAACTCCTCGAGCTAAATCTCATTGAGCTTACGGAGATGAAGCGGCCAAATGAAGCTGGGAAAACTGATGACTCAAATTACTGCAAATATCATCGACTTGTGAGCCACCCTCTAGAGAAGTGCTTTGTCTTCAAGGACAAAGTTATGGACTTGGCTCGTGAAAAGAAGATCGTGCTTGAAGATGAGAAAGCAAGCGCAAACCAAGTCTCTATCACATCTGGCTCATTCGGTCCAGATGAATTATGTAGTTTTAAAGAAAGTAAAGATGAAGAATTACTGGAGAACAACAAAGTTGAAGACGATCAACCTGATGATGATGAAGGTTGGACGTTGGTGACTCGTCGTAGGCTCCACAAAAGGAGCCCACGAAAAGGATCAATGGAACAACCAACAAGGAAAATAATGGTGAAAAGACCGAGGAGATGGAATCCAGTTAAGCATTTAAAGAAAGCAAAAGTGGAGGTGCACCACCCTCAAAAGCCACGACATCCAATGACCTTGGAGGATTTTTTACCAAGTTGGTTCCGCACGAAGATTTCCCACGGGGGTATTGATGCCTCTTGTTGCCATGCTGACAAAGGGGAAGAAAAGAGTGATGACCTACCTGTCACGACCCGGATTTCCCATCCTCGGGAGTCGTGATGGCGCCTACTAGTGAAAGCTAGGCAAGCCAACCAATTCTATTATCTACCTTTTTCCCATTTTTAATCCTTTAACAATAAAGAAACAATATCATATAAACAGCGGAATTTAATAAGCGGTAGACTGAATTGTAATATTTTAATAATGATACCAATACCCAATCGTAACACAAACTACCCAGAACTGGTGTCACAATTTCACAGACGGTCTAGGAATACTACAAATAAAGGTCTGAAAGATTAATACAACACTGTCTCTGGAATACATGAAAGAAACAGAATGAAAAGATAGAAGGAGACGCCAAGGTCCGCGGACGCCTGCAGGACTACCTCGGGTCGCCTGATGAACTGGAAACAGCAATCTTACTGCGGTCCGAAAGCTACAATACCAGGATCTGCACAAAAGAGTGCAAAGTGTAGCATCAGCACAACCGACCCCATGTGCTGGTAAGTGCCCAGCCTAACCTCGGCGAGGTAGTGACGAGGCCAGGACCAGACTACCAATAAACCTGTGCAGTTAAATCATATACAGCGGAAAGTAAAGGCAGATATTTACAGTTAAAGATGGGAGGGGAAAAGCATGCTGCGGGGAGTATCAGATAACAACAGAATACCAGAGAGGAATGTAAAGAAACCAAAATCCAATTGCTAACAAGAATAAGAGAAACAAACACAGTATTCACTTTCATCTCTTTCTTGTTGCAGGCGTGCAACCCGATCCCATT